ACAGGCATGGGAAGCTAGGTCACAGTTCTGCTCAGCAGAGCTGCCCCTTCTCAGGCTCAGTGGACCCGGACCCTTCGAGAGCTTGCCCTATCTTCCCACTCTTCCTTTTGACCCTTTCACATTCCATCCTGAGGAGCTAGCCAAGCTCCTCCCAGGGCCTACAGGAGGTTCCCCAAGATATGCTCCCTGGGACAGGGGGCCAGTGTCCAGGAATCCGGGTCAGGCCCAGCCCCTTCTCAGCTCCAGGCTGAGTAAGAGCTGTCTCTGTGTGCGCGAGTGCACAAGGAAACAGTGTTCGTGTCTAAGGCCTTTCTCAGGGGCCACACCCCTCACTGCTCATTTGGCTGCAGAGCGGGCAGTTCTGACTACGCTGCTGTTCTCTGTGGCAGTGCTCTGGGATAGCCTAGTCTCCACCACCAGAATCCCAGTGACAGCCTGGAGGTGCCTGGACTCCAAGGAGACTCAGTCTGTCTCACATTGCTCCAAAGCACTGTTCTATCCAGAACCTTCGAGAACCTTCTCTCCAATCGTAAGCTCCCTCAGTCCCTTAGGATCTGTGTGTGGCTCTCAAAAAGCTGCTGCTTCATGGAGGGAAGTGGTCTCTTTGCCTAATGTACAATTCTGTGCACTTAAGAACATTTCCAAAGGGAGTTTAAAATTAAAACTTCAGTTCCAACTATGTGGATCTGGGCTTGCATCCTGACTCTGACTTTCTTCCCTGGGCCCCAGGCTCCCCATCTGTGTGAGGATCAGATGAGATCATGCATTTGCAGGCACAGTATAGAGCGTAACACCTCTACAAATGGCAGGGACTTGTTTATTTGTTTATAAAAGAGCAGTTGCTCTAGAGAGATTCCTGATTCTCGATGTAAGGCAGTGCTCTTCACAGCTGTCCCTATCTGTCCCGTTCATTTAAGGTTAGATCTTAGGCCTGGCAGGACAGGGCTGAGGACCAGATGGTTTGTCAAGTCCTTAGGAACAGTTAAGAATAATCGGCTGAGTGTGGAGAGGCTGGGGCTGGGCTGGGCTCCTGGGAATAGGCAGTGTTAGTACCAGCCTTACTCCATGCCGAGTACTGGCAATCTGCTGACTGCAGACTTCCTGGCTAGTTGTCACTCCAAGCCCCCTCATGGCCTAACCCAGAGAGCTGCCTTGCCCAGAGCCATGCCTGTGAACATGAAAATGCCATTTTCTCTTCCTTCCCTTCTTTCTCTTCCAAGCCCAGACTTCTGCATGCCATCTAACTCACTTTCTAGTTTCTTGGAGCCCAGAGTGCAGCTGGAAGCAGGAACACCAGAGGCCTCTTTCTCTGTGTTAGCAGAGGACAGAGCCGGGTGCACCCAGTCTGCCTGAGACTCTATCTAGGGCCTTGCTAGGGCGCTGTGGTCCTGTCTGAGCATCAGTTTCCTTACCTGTAAGATGAGGACACCAAAATCTTCTCTATTCTTGTGTTTCCTCATTCAATGATCAGAAGAAAGTGAGACAAACAACTTTAACATGTGCTGCAGCTCAAAAAAGTGCTTAAAATAAATATAATACTATTATGGAGAGAACATCCATCTGTCCAGCATCTACCACAAGGGAAGAGGTAAGCAGAAGGAAGTTTTCATGGCCAAGGGCAGCTCGTCCCGAAGAGTAGATTTTCCATTCTGAGAAGAAGGGAGTGAGCAGCTTTTTCCTCTGACAGGCTGTTACCCTCCGTCTCCTCTCTGCCTTCCTCCCCAGCTACCACCTGTAACCACTGAAGAAAGCTAAGAAGAATCTGTCCCATGCCTTGGGTGGTTGTAGATCTGGGTACCAACCTGCAGCAGTTTAGCTGGGTGCCAGTGGGCAACCCTCAGTTTCCCCCTCTATAAAATGGGTGACAACTTTTTGGGGTGCAGGTGCTAAGGATTGAATCTAGGACCTCCAGCCAACAACTTTTTACTGGATTGTTTAGAGGGTTCAGTGAGTTCATATGTGCATGAGTGGTCAGTGAATGTTAAGGGATTGTTGAAATTATTTCAGTCTCTTTCTCCCTTTATCCTGGCTTGAGGGCAGTCCCACCCAGTATCTTTAAGTTAGGAAGCTTTCTTGTGATGAGCCAGAGGTGCAATAGACCACGCAGGGGACTCAGGATCAACTACCTGGAGAGACCCTGGCCACCTGGGAAAGGTTGATTCTGTCTGCTTCACCAGCCCAGCCCTTTGCTTTCTGCAGCAGGTGGGGTGCGTGGGCCAGCGAAGGTACGAGTCTCTTCCTCCACTGGCTGCTGAGTCCCACTGGGATCCAGGACTTCTCCCAACCTTTTGCACCTGGTTTTTTTGTCCCCCCTGGCCTTGCAATGCTCCCCACTCACATGCCCAGTAACTGGGGGTGTCTGCAGGGAGAGGAAGAGGGGAAAGAACTTATTGCCCAGCCCACCTCTGAGAGCCACCAGGAACCCAGAAGGGCCAAGCTGGGGCCCTGGTGCAGGCAGCTTAGCGTATGAACCCTTGAAGCTTCCCAGAGGGAATGGTCTGGAGGTCCTCTGTGGCACCGCTGCCTGGGCCTGCAAGGACAAGTTCTTCCCCAGTTCCTCTGCTGCTCGCTCCACTCTCCACTCTCCAGGTGTTGGGACACCTGGGGCTCCTGTTCCAGGCCACCACACAGCTGCTGCCCCGTGAGCGCTGCGGTCCTGGTTCGAACACCGCACGGCCTCTTTCAGGCCCGGGCTCAGCGTCTCCAGCCCTGGCTGACCCATAGGACCCCAAAGGGGTAAAGCAACCGCAGCTTGCTGGTGTCCACCCAATGGGCCTGCAACGAAGGTCCGGACACCAAGCCCCCACACTGCCCCTTCCCCACCCAGGCGATGTTCAAGGTCCTTTGTGCCTGGGAATGCTCTCCTAGCGCCCCCTGCCTGACATGGGAGCCTCTCTCTATGGCTGGAGAAGAATGACTTGGGGAGATAGGTACAGCGGCTCCCTCATTTCCTCTTCTCCGACTGTTTAAAGAACCTTCCTCCCCCACACCTCTGCCATAAGATCCCCTTGCCAATCTGCATGGTTGGGCTAATTTCAGAATGGTTTCAAAGAAAATTTTTCTGGCTGCCTATAGGGAGTGTGTGTGTGTGTGTGTGTGTGTGTGTGTGTGTGTGTGTGTAAACCGACTGCCCCCGAGCTGGGAATTAGGACCTCCAGGACTTGAAGGCTGGGTTAATTTCTTTTCTTTCTTTCTTTCTAAAAGCCAAGTGGCTTGGACCAGGGAACCTAAGAAATTCAGGCTGCTGAGACGATACTGCGCAGGTTGGAAAGCCACTTTTTCCCTCCCTCCTACACAATTAAGCTTCAAAGATCAAAGACATCCTTCAGCTCCTGCTCTTGTTCACCCGCTCCCTGCCTGGCCTGGACTCCAGGCACATGATTTCCTTCTGGCTCTGACCTCTCCGTGGGAAGACACACTTTCTCTTTGCCCTTACAGCTGGTGGGGTGGGGGGTGTGAGAGGGTGTGAGACAAGATATCGCATGTGCGCACGTGTGTGTGTGTGTGTGTGTGTGTGTGTGTGTGTGTTCAGCAATGTGTGACAATACATGAAAGGTACAGGGAAGTAAGTGGGTTCTGGTGTCCAGTTACTATGGCAACATCTGATCTGTGGAAATTCTGTGTGCGACACTGCTCCCCATGCTACAACAAACATCTGCACCAAGAAAGTTCAGCCTCAGCAGTAAGAAGGGGTGCCGAGCGATGGAGAAAGGAGGGGGAGGGTGAACGGGAGGAGGTGAGGAAGATCACCTCTAAGCTCCTCGGAAAGGAAGCAAAGGTGGAGGGGGGAGGAGTGAGAAGACAGAGACTGGGTCCCCAGCAAGGTTGGACAACGTGTGAGGAAGCTTGCCGGAGGAAGGAGGTGTCCGGGCCCGGCCTCTGGCTTACCTGAGCACACCTGCCTCTCCTCTGGGCTCTGGGTCAGTCTTCCTCTCCCTGCCCACCCTTTTGGTGGAGCTGTGGCAGCAGAGAGCCAGCTAGAAGTTCTGCTCTCCCAGTGGTGTGTGCCTGTGTGCTTGCCTGACTTTTTCTTCCACCAGCTCCTACTGGGGTGGGGAGGTTAGGTTAGGGGGAGGGAGGGGCAGATCGCAGGGAGGGAGAGGAAGAGAGGAGGGGGAAGGGAGGGAGGGAGGAGAGGAGAGACAGGGAGGGAGCTTGGGAAAGGAGGAATGACAACAATAACGTCTTTATTTGGCAGCCAAAACTCCAAAGACTTTATCCACACACCATGCCCGCTAACGGTCTCCCTTTAATACTGTTTCCTTCTGCTGCTTCTGGAGGGAGATTGTTTGACTGGTGTTTGGAAAACATGCCAAATTAACAGAGGAAAGGCGTGCAAAGCAGCCTTGTGCAGGCCTGGGCTGGACAGCTAGGTCCAGCACTGGCCTGTAGAATTCCTCCTAATAACTGCCTCACTTCTGACACTGTCACTCCCTGGTGTTAATTTTCTGGCCCAGTCAGGGGTCTGGGATACTTCCTGTAGCATTGACAATCCTTCCTGAGGTGGCTTCTCCAGGAGGTCGCTGAGGGAGTGGGGTTTGCCGGGCAGTGAGCTGGCCAGCCAGAAAACCTGGATTTGCTTGCCAGAAGGTTGGCCTGAGGATCAGAAAGGGAAAAGTCTGGCCTGGGGTCACACAGCAAAGTGAAGGCAGAATTTGGGTCTGATGCAAGGCTTAAGGTTACTGTCTTTAGCTCATATGGGCAATGTTAGAATCTTCTTTTCACTTTCTGTATCTCACTCAGGTGAGATTTGGGGTCATTACACAGACTGATGGGGAAACCCAAATTTCCCCAACTTGTGTTGACATCCTAGAAGACCCAGTCAAGTATCATTATCATCTTCTTCAGTTAAAAAAACCACAACACACTTGCAGTTAAGTAGCAGTCCAGGAAGACATCCTGCCCTCCCTGGTAATGACCAAAATTTCAATTAAACTTCTCTGTCATTAGGCCCACAAGGAGCTGCCATGCCCCACTATAGCAGGCTCGTTCCACCCCTGCCCTGGCCTCTGCCACCCACAAGCTATGTGATTTGGGACAAAGATGAGGAAAAGCCTGTTTCTTTATGCCTAGAATGGGGAATAATGTTGACTTCCCAAGGCTGGGATGATTAAATGACACCAGAAGTGTGAAGCACTTTATTCCTTGTCATCCTAGGCACTGAACTGTGCCTTACTGAGCTAGATCGCCAGCTTTTTAAAAAAATTTCTTAATTTGAGACAAGGTCTTCCTAAGGTGTTAAATTTCCCAAGCTGGGCTGGACTTCAACTTGCAATCCTCCTGCCTCAGCCTCTCTCCCTATCCCATATATGCTAAGGGAAGTGCTTTACTGACTGAGCTACACTCCTAGCCCTATGAAGCACTTTATAAACTTGGAGGACAATGTTTAGGAAAGGGATTATGGTGAGTGGTAATCAGACTAACACAGGGAGAAAGAAAAGTAAAACCTGTGTCTTCTGTCCCTACCCACTTCTGTCCAAATCCTGTGCCTTCAACCCTACCAGTGATGTTTGAATGGAAATCAGCAGGCAGGGTGCCTCCTGCCCTACATTTCTATACAGATGGGGTACAGCTTGATTCCCTTGGCATGGTGGATGGGCAGAGGGCAAGAAAGGTAGGCAGATACTGTAATGTGCAGACCAGATGGTGGACCTAGGGGATGGACAACTGCTGGGAGTGCAGACAATGCGTGGTGTCCCCTTCATCCTCCCCAATCCCAGGCGTATGTGCTCTTGGCCATGGTGATGGTCACCTTCCAAGTCCCTGCTAGCCAGTGTATCCCCGTCCTCCCTCCAACCCCAGGCAATGCAGACAGAGTTGGGATCCGGGCAAGAGAGCATCAGGAAAGTCTAGAGTGCAGTTTGCTAATCGGTAGCCAATAAGCTTTTCAGCGGCACATTAATTTAAAATACATTCATTGCAGAAATATAAAAACATGCACATATTTATACAGGACAGTATTAATTAACAACCCTGTTATTTAACACCCAGCTTCAACAATGAGCTCAACTCATGGCCAATCTTGCTTCTTTTGTGCCCCCTCCCTCAAATATTGGTGTATTTTGAAGTATAGATTTTAAAAAAACATTGGATTTGAGCACCTTCTGGGCAGGGCAAATGCTTCTCCACTCAACACCAAGGCTGGCCGTCTATGGTGTCTTGTCCTAGAGCCCAGGGCCTGGGTCACCTCCCTGAGAGACTCACCTGAGAACTCACAGAAGCAAAGACAGCAAAGGTGGCTGCAGGCATCTGTGTGTGGGGAAGCCTGGGGAACGGTGGTCAAAGGTACTTGCTTTCAGCTGTAAAATAACAAACTTTCAGGATCTGATGTATGGCATGGTGACCACGGCTAATAATACTGTATAGTTAAATTGAAATTCACTAGACAAATATATATATTTGCTAATTATACCTCAGTAAAGCTAGAAACAAGACAAAATGAAAATGACTGACCTGCCTATCCTTGAGGGCACTGAATTCACAGCCACTGGTCTAGAGGCCAGTGCTGAGAACAGTGGGACAGATCAGTGGGACAGATCAGGGGACACTGTAAGGAAGAGGGCGTCAGATCATCTCAACCAACCCACCTTTCTCCAGCCTGGGGCCCAGGGCCAGGTTCCTGAGACCCAGCTTTGTCTCCGTGGTGCTGTGTGACTTGGAAATGTTCTCTCCCCCTCTGGCCTCAATTCGTCATTTGTAAAATACAAGTTTATGCTAAGTGACCTCCAGGTTCTCTTCCAACAATACTGTGAAGAGAGTCTGAGATTTGGAGTCAGGACAGCTGGATTAAATGTCTGACTACCTGGCAAGCAGGTCTCATAGCAAGTCTGAGCCTCAGTTTCCTCATGTGCATTTGGAAGGTGGTAACCCTGCCCTGCCTCCTCCTGGGGTACAGCCAGGGTCAGGTGAGGCTCAGTGATGGGTAGCGCTTTCTGTGATTCCCTGGTTTTATACAGCCAGACCATGAGACCGTGTGGCCCATCCACGAGGTTACTCTACTCTCCTGGAGTCTGGGGACACCCTGTGGGGTAGTGTCACCTCAGGGGAGGTATTTATTCCTTCCTGGTGCTAACAGAGAACCCCCACACACTAGTGTAGGTGCTGGGCAAGTGACAGGCGGCAGCTGCCCTGGTGCTGTGGCTGCTGGCTGCTCGGGGGTGGAGGAATGTGGGGCTGGTTGGGGGGGGAGGGGTGGCTCTCCACCAGCATGGATTTCCAGAGTCCAGACCTGCCCAGGCTGATCTCTATCGGGGGCTCACTCTTCCTCTGCCCCGCACAGTAGCCCGTGCCTTGGTTACAAGCAGTGAGTGCTTGGAGCGGAAGAATAAAGGACAGATTGTGTGGTGCCTCTTCCATACCATGCAGAAGGGAAAGGATTCAGGCTTCCCATCCCCCTGCTGCCTGCCAGGAAGGCAGTGTGGGCCTGAGGCGTTGGCGCTCTGACCACCCAGTGGTCACCAGGCCCCACAGAGGCTGGGCCCAAATGGACCCCCACCCTCACTGGTCTGGGCCAGCTGACAGGGCAGCAGCTGTGGGAATTCTGTGTTCGTCCACACCGCTGCCCAGGGTTGCCTGGGGTGAGTGGGCTCCTGGTGGGCAGAGACAACGTCCTGTTCATCACGCAGGGCCCGCAGCCCCACCAGACACTTGGCACACCTGGCCGCTCAGTAGAGGGTCTCTTTCATCACATTTAAGAGGGTTGAACAAGGAGATTCTCTGTCACTCTATTATTTTTTGAATAGATAGTAATTCTCTTGATTCAAAATCCAAAAGGTCTAGAAGGTTCTGCAGGGAAAGCTTTTTACCTTGGCCCCTCTCCTCATTACCCAGCTTCCTCCAGGACAGGCAAGGTACTGCTTCATGTGTCCTGCCAGCTGTGTTTAATGCGTTCACTTAGCAGTGGATCTTAAAGGTCATTTCATATTGGTACACAAGACTCCTTCTCATCCTATTCTTCCCCTCCCATATTTATTTAACCTGCCCCTCTTGTTTTGCTTCTTTGTTGTAAAGTAGCACCGGGGATTAAATCCAGGATCTCTGCATTGAGCTACATCCCCAGTTCTTTAAAAACTTTTTTACTTTGAGACAGGATCTTACTAAGTTCCCCAGGCTGGATTTGAACTTGTGATCTTCCTGCATCAGTCTCCTCAAACCAGTCTCTCTTGATGGACATTTAGGCTCCTACTTTTAAGGTAGGCAGTGGTGGGCCTGGAGTTCCACAAATGAGGTTCCAGTCTGATCCTGCCTCCTCTCCATACAAGCCCGATGGCCTTGGACTCCCTGGTGTCCTCCTGAGACTCAGTTTTCTCATTTGCATGCATTGGGTGTTAATTATTGTCTGCCTACTTGGCAGGGAAAGAAATATAACTTCGTATTATCATTTAGCTTTCTTCTGTAATTTCCGGATCCATGTGCTTGCTGCACTGGGACAGTGGAAATCTCCATCACTCCTTGAAGCCCTCCCTCCTCTAGGTTTGTACGGCAGCTTGAGCAGGATTTTCGGGTGCTAGGCAAGGGCAGGGGACGCTCCTGTGGCTCCTGGCTAATGACACTGTGGGGCATCCCTTCATCCTGTGAGCCTCTGGCTCAGCGGCTCTGACACTTTCCAGGCTTGTAGGGGTGCAGGGGTCCTGCAGGGGTGTCATTTCCTCTGGGGACATGCTGACATTCTGCCTTGCCCCCTCTCTCAGGCTCTCGAATTCTCCCCAAACCAAGCCTCAGCTAGGGGCCACTTCTTCTCTGAAGGAAGAAGTTTCCTTTCGCCCTAATTTCTGGCCATGATATGGAGTTTATGCTCAGAACCTCTGGGAGCCCAGGCTTGTGGAAAACAAGGCCAAAGTCACATGTAGGCTGCTTCCATTTCCTGCCACCCCGCCAGATCTGGGCTGTGGATTTAAACAAGAGGAAGCCAGAGGGCAGAGGTAAGGAGGGAAGAAATTAGATGGATCTGTGTGCTACAACTCCAGCCCTTTAGTGTTTATTTGAGACAGAATATCACTAAATTGTCCAGGCTGGGTGCAAATTTGAGATCTACCTGCCTCAGCCTTCCAGAG